ATTATAAGGCTTGTAATTGAATTGCACTGTTTAAATAAGACATATTAATGTATATAAAGACTACATAAGTACTAGGGATGAATAAAATCTATTACATGTATTATACTAACTTTGTATAACAACCTAAAGTGTTATACTTGTATTATATTTAAATTATAATCTTAAAGAAAGAGTTGTATTTATAATATAATAATGTAATAATTACTATTGTTACCTTATAATTTATACAAAAGGTATATTAATGTATATTATACTTAGATTGTTTATACAAGTAGTGTCAGCAACAGTGTAGAGGGGACCCAAAGGCTCAGCAAGGGGACCCAGGCTACAACTATCCTACACAACAGAAATACAGAATGCAAGCACTAGAACATAGTCAGAACTTGCAGAACAGGCAGAGAGAGTGAGTGAGACAAGAGTAGGGTATATAGAGTGAGCCTAAGAGTACAGGACTACCTGGAGTAGACAAGATCAAGACTACAGGACCAGTCTGATCTTGTACACCTATATATACTAAACTACACAAGAGTACTCAGGGAGTATGAGCCACTTAAGAATGATAAGCTACAAAGAATGAAAGAAAGGAATGTCAAAGATAAAGGTACAAAGAATGAAGGGATGGACAAAGGGTAAGAGACTATAGAATGAACAAAGAATGAAGGGGTGGTCAAAGGAATGGAATGATGAAGTAAGGAAGGGTAGTAGTAAGAGTCAGTATACATATAGTCTATAGACAGTACTCCTAAGGGACAGAAGTCCTGAGTTCTAGTATGGAAGGGTGTAGAACCCTTGGAACTGAAGGTATGAGAGTAGAGAACTGTAACATCACCCCCCCTCTAAAACCAATCACCCTGATTGGTGAACATTAGGCTCAGTTAGTAGCTTGAGTATAGGTTGGAACAGTATGGTGTAGAAATCTGTAAGGTAGAGTTGATACAGAGCACCTGGGTGAAGTCAATAGAAGTCTTAGATTGCCTTAGGAGTATGGGTAAGGTTCTTGACAGGTTCCCAAGTGTGTTCTTCAACTGGGTACCCTTTCTAGTGAACAAGGAATTTGAGCTTTCCATACAGTAGCTTAGTATCTACTATATACTCTACTTTGTACTCTGGTTTGGAACTAATGAGTTCTGGTAGAGGCAGTAGGGGTCTTTGTTGTGAAGGAAAACCTGAATCATAGTACTGAGACAACAGAGCCTTGTTGAACACTGGGTGTATGTGCTTCCATGTTACTAGAAGTTAGAGTTTGTATATAGAGGCACTAACCTTCTTTTCAATAATGAAGGGTCTGAAGCACTTGTTGTCTAACTTCTTCATCAGGCAATCCAAGGTCAGATTAGTAGCTTCCAGCATAACTTTGTTACCAGACTAGTAATCCTTGGCTACAGATCTCTTCCAATCATAGTTCTGCTTTATAACTTGTACTACCTTTTCTAGAAGAGCTTGTGTGTCCTCCCTAGCCTTGTGTATCTGTTCCACAAAGTCTGTTACAGATTCAGAACTACTGTTCTGGTTCAGAACTGTCCTCTAGTATGAATGTCTCTCATGATTGAGGAAGAACAGGGACTGTCCTGTTATAGAGTGTTACTAGTTATTGTGCACAAATTCTGCTAGAGCTAACTATTCAGACCAGTCTAACTACTGATGATTGATAAACATCTGGAGATAGAGCTTGATCTCCTGATTGACTTGCTTAGTTTGACTATCAGTCTATAGGTAATATGTAGTAGAAGGGTTTCCTTGAATTCTGAGAAGTACATACAAGTCCTGTATGAATTTTGACTCAAATTACAGTCCACAATCATGAATGAGCTTCTGAGAGAGTCTATATAACTAGAAGATGTGATCCTAATAAATGTATACTATACTTTCAGAAGTGAGTTCTGTTTGGGTCAGAACTGTATAGACTTGCTTAGAGAATCAGTTGACAATTACACAGATAGTATTGTAACCCTAAGACTCAGGTAGCTTACTAATCAGGTCTACTAAGACTTCTTCCTAAGAGTGATCTAGGATCTGATACAAATGTAGGAGAGCCTAAACCCTTGTCTGGTGAGTCTTAGTCTGTTAGTATGTATTACAACCAGTCACATACTTTAGGATTTCCCTCTGTATTCTAAACTACTAGTAGTTCTGAGTAATGAGTTTCTGTGTTTTGTGTTAGCTCAGATGTCCTACAGTCAGATTGTTGTAATGAGCTCAGACAATGTTCTCCTACAGTTTCCAATCCTTCAGAACATACAGTCAGCCTTCCTAGTAAACCTGTCTATCCTTATCCTCCTCCTAATCCCTAGCCTACTTCTCTAGTTACTTTACTATAACCTGGTCCTATGTGTGTCTTAGAGCTTACTGTATGTGGGTGACAAAGTCAACATCCTTAGATTTGAGTCAGATCTCTTAGATTGTCTTGAACACAAAACAGGAATTGTTTAGGAGAACAAGATTTTTGTTATTATTCTCCCCCCTTTCATAACCTACTTGTCTTGAGAGTAAATTGGCTTTTGTTATTTGTGTTCTGGGTTTGTGGGTCAGTACAAAGTTATAGTCCTACAGTTCTAACATCTAGTAGGCCTGACAGTAGTTGAGCTTCTGAGGTGCCTGGAAGTACTAGAGATTAAGGTGATTACTCTAGATCTCAAACTTCTGTACTATACTGAGAAGATATTAACACTACTCTTTTAGGGAACAGACAATCACAAGGAGTTCCTTATTATAGATAGAGTAGTTCTGTTTTGTTACAGAGAGGGATTCTAATCAGAACACTATCAGACACTACTTTCTGTTAATGAACTAGGACAGTACTACTCTATTTGTAAAGTTAGAAGAGTCAGCTTCAACTCAGAACTTGTCTACAACTGTTAGAACTACTAATACAGGCTTGCTAGTAATAGCCTGTTTGAGAGACTCAAACACAGACTACTACTGATTGCCTCATTACTAAGGAACATCTTTGCTAGTAAGATTGTGAAGGGGCTAGGTAATAGTACTAAAGCTTTGAATAAAGTATTAGTAGTAGTTTGCAAACCTAAGGAATGCTTGGACCTGTTTCAGGTTCTAAGGTTGTAGCCAGTTCCAAACTATAGTTACCTTTACTAGATCTATACAGACCTCTCCTCTACTAATTACAAAGCCTAGATAATCTACTAACTCCTATACAAAAGAGTACTTTACTTCTTAGAGGAACAGTTTATTATCTTAGAGCTGTTATAGAACTGTTTGGATCAGTCAGTAATAGTACTCAACTGTCTAGGTGAAGATCAGAATGTTGTCTAGATATACACTAACATGCTCTGAGTCAATCAGATCTGTAAGAATATGATTCATGAATGACTAGAATGTTGTAGACAAATTAGTTAGTCTAAAGAACATTACAGTCAGTTTGTACAATCTGTAATTAGTTTAGAACACAGCCTTCTACTTATCTCTGTCTCAGATCCAAATATTATTGTACCCTTATTAAATGTCCAACTTAGTAAAAACCCTAGATGTATATGTCTTATTAATGAGCTCCTGAATCAGAGAGAGTAAGTACTTGTTTTTAACAGTACTCTTATTAAGACAACAATAATCCTAGACTAGGTAGAGCTTCCTATCTTTCTTTTTGATGAAGAAGAAAGGGGAGACTATAGAGGACTTTAAGGGTTGGATCTAGCTGTTCCAAAGATTTTCCTAAAGGAACTCATTGAGCACCTCCTACTTGTCTCTGTTGAGTAGGTAAACCTTACAATCCTTAGGTTAGAAACCCTTAGTCAATTCAATTGTATAGTCCTAGAGACAGTGTTCAGGAAGCTGGTCAAATTCCTCTTTACTAAAGACTTTAGGGAACTCTCAGACAAAATCTGGCAGGCTGGGTCTATGTACATTCTAGAGTAGAGTTGTTCTAAGAGGGTTCTAGACTAGTTCTGTTACAGACATTCTTCAGATTGACTCTGTTCTGTCTTGACTAGAATATGTATCCACATATCTATCCTAGTTGAAGAAGAACAACCAGTCACCTTTATCAGAACTGTTAGTAACATTAGAAGCATCTACATCCACTTAGAACAGTAGTGTAAGGTAGCTGTAAGACTTAGAACACTAATCAAACATAAGTGTCTACTCTAACTAGTCAATAGTAGAGTTGTGAGCCTTGAGCCATTCAAATCTGATAAAGACATCTGTCTTTCTAAGGTTAGTGACTCTGAACTCAATACTTTCCTTATAATCCTGAATAGTCATCTGTAGTTGGACAAACTTAGTAATCTGACCATTCTAGTTTAGGGTTCTGTCTACATTATATACTAGGATCAGAAGTAGAACACATTAAGTAGGGAGGTAGTGTTCCTATATGAAGACCTTATTAATACACAAACTAGTGTATCTACTGTCTACTAGAGCTGTTGTTCAGATCTGGAGGGATCCTAAGAAGGGAGCTAAGAGGACAGGAACCTAGAGCTAGTACTTAGAACATTCTCAAATAAACTACTACTTGTTCTGAAAGGAATGTACAGCTTGTGTAACCTTGTTGTCTGAGAGGGTGAGTATATACACTAACATTTCCTTAGTAACCTCTCTCTTTCAACAAGGACAGACTCATGTTCTCAGCTGTAAGCTCAGCTAAGACTATTCTTACTTAATACTACAGACAAACTACTAAGTAGTAAATAGGGCTGGGTAGTGTTCTGAATGTTCTAAGATCTTAGAACACAGAAGTAGTAGGTTGGATTGTGTAGATTTAGACTTGGATAAAGTACAAAGAGAAGAATCAAAAGAATCAGAAGAAATAGGAGAACTATCTACTTTTTCTACTTTTTCTGTTTTTCTTACTTTATTTACTTCTAATCCTACAGTGTCTATTGAATCAAAAGTGACTGTTAAAAAATCCAAGTTATAGTCCTTCAGTACTACATTCACTGTTAAGCCTCTACAAAATCCTAGGGTACATAGTCAGAGTCTAAGAGTTCTGAGGTGACTTCTGGATTTGTAGAAAAGGCTTCTTACTACAAATCCTGCTTGTTACTCATTATTACTCTAATGACCTGACAGATATACTGTTACTTCTGTAGACAGTCCTTAATCTGGTGCCCTAACTTTCTGTAGGCAAAGTATACTCCTTACTTTTAGGCTTCTCTAATGTCTATCAGAACAGATTGATTACAAATTACAGGCAGATTGATCTGAGGGCTTGGAACTGTCAGAGTCAGACACATGTGTGAGTGTTCCACACAGACTTGTTGTATCTGAGCCATAGCTTGGTTGAAGGAGATAGTACACATCTTCTACTCAGTGTAAGTAGTCAGTTCTAGTATTATTCTGAGAATCTTATTAACTAGTTCTGAGTGAAGAGCTTTTTCAAGTATCCTAATGAGGACATTATTGAACCCAAGTGTGAATCCTACCTTCTAGGCCAGGATATTAAACTCTTAAAAGAAGGTATTAGTAGAATGTTTGTCCTGTCACAGAGACACAAGCTTATTCTGTACATTATACTTCTTATTCAGATTAATAAAGGAAGTATAGAGCTGTCTTATAAATTCTGAGTATGACTCATTGTTCTAAAGTCAGATCAGGCTTCCAATCTAATAGCCTTTGATCCAGTTCTAGGCCCAGGTGGCTGTGTTGCCTTCCTTCATGAAGGAGAGGACAAATAGGACATGATTGAAATCTGAGAATAGATTAGTCAAAGTAGTAGCTATATATAGTTTGACTTAGTACTAGAAGTCCTTAAAGTGCTACCTATTAAAGTCTGAAGGGTAGGTTACATACACTTTCTTTCTAGAACAGGTTGCAACTTCTAGAACAACTAGAACAGGTTCTGAAGGGGCTGGGGGTACATAGTTGGTAAAAGCCTCTTAGATAGAGGTCTGTATATATTGAGCTAGTTCTGCTTGTAACTGCTGATCTAGTAGAACAGTAGGGGTGACAGTTAGTGTAGTAGGGTCTATGTCTATACTACAAAGGGATCAGTACTAAACTAAAAGGGGTAATGAATGGAAGAAGGGTGGCAAAAGTTTAAAAGGGGTTTAGGGAGTTTAAAATTTAAAAATGTAGAAGGGTCAGGACAAAGAAAAGAGATTAATGTAACAGTGAGTACTGATGCTCAAAATGTAGGAGAGTTGTAGGGTGGTAATAGGTAGTCTTGATCTGATGTCAGTAACAGTGTAGAGGGGACCTGAAGGCTTAGCAAGGGGACCTAGGCTACAACTATCCTACACAACAGAAATACAGAATGTAAGTACTAGAACATAGTCAGAACTTGTAGAACAGGCAGAGAGAGAGAGTAAGACAAGAGTAGGGTATATAGAGTGAGCCTAAGAGTACAGGACTACCTAGAGTAGACAAGATCAAGACTACAGGACCAGTCTGATCTTGTACACCTATATATACTAAACTATACAAGAGTACTCAGAGAGTATGAGCCACTTAAGAATGATAAGCCACAAAGAATGAAAGAAAGGAATGTCAAAGATAAAGGTACAAAGAATGAAGGGATGGACAAAGGGTAAGAGACTATAGAATGAACAAAGAATGAAGGGGTGGTCAAAGGAATGGAATGATGAAGTAAGGAAGGGTAGTAGTAAGAGTCAGTACACATATAGTCTATAAATAGTGCCCCTAAGAGACAGAAGTCCTGAGTTCTAGTACAGAAGGGTGTAGAACCCTCAGAACTGAAGGTACAAGAGTGGAGAACTGTAACAAGTAGTTTACAATTATTGTAAAAAGCATTTCATCTACTTGTAATAATTACATTAGTGTGTTTATAAAGCTATATACATGTTATATTACTTTTTAATATATTACAAAGTAGATTAATAATTTTATTTTATACCTAAATACAATAATTGAAATGTTCTATCAGTTGACAACTCACATTATAGTTGCTTATGTAATCAACTGCTAAAGATTGAGAGCATATAATGATGCATTTCTCTTTGTTACTCCTTTACCTCCTACCTTTACTGTCTCCCTAACCCTCTGCCTACAACACTATGTTGTTGCCTCTGTTCTCTCTAGTCAAGTCCTCTACTCACAAGTGTCCTACTAGTAGGCACTCTGCCTGTAACAACATAGGCAACAAATATTACTATACTTGTCTCTCCAATCTGCTACTGTAATGCCTGTACTGAGTCTCAGATCTCACAATGACACAACCTAGCTGACAACACCATCCTTTAGTATAAAGTGTAAATAGTCAGCCTACTTTATAATAGTCTACACAATAGTTGCTCATTCCTCTCCTCCCAACTTTTTGTCTCCCTTCCATCTGTCCTACTCCTTACTCTACCATTTGTGTTGCCTCTCCTTTACTGTCCTCACTTTTTTACATTCACCTTCCTTTTTACATTTGTACACACATCTGTATTGTTGACCAATGCTAAACAACTTCTTCAATAATTCCATACATTTGTGTACTTCTTCCTACTCTGTAGTACAGACAACAACAATAAGTACACACTTGTAACAATGTCCTTGTACAGTTACTCCTGTTGTGCTACTCTCTCTCTCACCCAGTACACACTCTCCTTTTCCACACATTCAGTACTTGAAACTACTCTAGATAGGCCTACACTGTATACATTTGTATTCCTCTGTACTAGGTATAGAATTGTATTAAACAGAAGTATTGACCCACTACTCATACTGTCTACACTAAGTCTGTTTGTGACTTCCACATTACCTTCTCTCTTCACATCAGGACATCCTAGAGATACACCCTTACAATTAATGACTCAGTACACTGTACCTTCTATTACTTACTGTAGCAAGAGTATATAGTATACACACACAGATACAGATTTGCCTGTAGCTCAAATCAGTTTGCTCAACACTCTGGATCTCAACCTAGTACACTACCTACCTTTCCTGCACAGTGTTATAGTGTCTCCCTCTCCTCACTTCAAGTGCCTGTACTTACTAACAATTCTGTCCCTTAGGCAAAGACTGGTTTGATAAATATTCAAAGTATGATTCTCTACAACTGGACTCTCCTTTCCTCCTTTCTGTAACCTCTGAGGTTACACACATGACTTTAGTTAAGTATATAAAGGGCTATTTGTAAACACTTAGAGATTATCTTTGTACTTGCTCCTGTACTTAGGTCAACCTCTCCAATCCCAGGTCTTTGCCTGTTCTGTGTTCTTGAGTAAGGCTCTAGCCTTTACACTTTTTTTTGAACATTGTAAAATTTGGGGATTACCTCTCATTTACTGTCTTTTACTTGTGCCACCAGATTGTCAGCCTCCCCCCCTGGCTTCCCCCCACACGTCCACTATCTCCTGCACACTTACAGTACTCTACAGTAATACTCTAGTTAATTACAAACTTCACAAATGCTATACTGAATTCCTGTTTACTCTTGAAGGCTCATAGAGAGAATATTACTACCTACTGGCCCACCTTCAATCTCCCAACAGACCCTCATCAGATTGGTCCTGGGATTCTAGGAGATTGTGTTAGGAAGATTGTATACAGTTGTGCTAGAGTCATACACATTGTACCTTATTGTGAGTCTTGTTAGTTGGCTACAAGTAAGATTCTACTACTCAAAAAAATGCTTTTACTGTACTACCCTCTCCTAGCAAACCCTTATCAGATTGGTCCCTGGATTCTAGGAGAAGGCATCAAGAAGAGTGTATGTAGTTGTACTAGAGTTATGTGTGTCACACATTATTGTGAGTCTGGTCAGCTGTCTACAATTAAGGTTCTACTACTCAAGAATATACTTTACTGTACTACTTTAAGCAGATTATCTACAGACTTGCTCTTGCTCATAACCTTTCTACCACTCATCATAATCTTAAGCTAGTGTCTAGAAACAAGCTGTAAAAGCCCCTACTATCCTATTTCTCAAATCATTCAAGGAGAACACTATCTTAGTACTACTACTAAGATTAGGAGCTACTATATAATTGCTCTACTAGAACACTGTTGAGAAACAAGCTACAGAAGGACCTACTGTCCTAGTCCTGAAATTGTACAAGGAAGCACTATCTTAATACTGCTACTGATATCTGAAACTGTAGTGTAATTCTCTTTAGGAGCTACAGGTTCCACACTAACAGATACTGTCTACTTTTAGTACAACAGATGTTACAATTGAGCTGTCAACTATAGTATATTTGTTGTATACTTGTTGTACTTACTACAATGTGTATCTCTCTATTGTTAAGGTGTTTGTCAAGACTGTCTATTTGTTAACATATATGGAATGACACATATAAGTAACAGACGTACCTGAGACATAGCCACATATTATATATACTTACTGAATCAACAGACAATGATACTAACAAGAGCAAGCCAAGTCTACTATCCCCCCTCTTTGTGTGATCCCTCTAAGCCTCTCACATAACCCCTCTCAACAGGTTATAAGCCTTGTACTCCCTGCCTATACTTTATCTACACTCTACTATGTCTATACTCTATACAGTTCTATACATTACATGTACACACACAGTATACTATAATGTAGAACTCAACACACTTGTCTGAGTATTGAAGAGTTCTGATTTTGGTTACTATCAGATCTTCTTGATTTTATTTAATTCTTTGGATTACATAATCACTTTCTTTATGTAGTTAGTTCTTTCCTATTTGGAATAGAGGAGGAGAGTTTTGACCAGAGCTTACAACAACACTAGAGGGAACAAGCCCACCAAAACCTTGCCTCTCAGTATCCCAAACACAAATCAATATGCTACAAACACACAATCTACTGTACTCTATACAACCCAGACATTATATGATTGTCATCTTAGTGATTATGATCATTGGCCCAGTAATAACATAATCTATGCAGGCAATGCTGAAACTACAATGAGTATTACTTACTACAACATTTAATCACTAAAATATTCTATAATATTATAGAGATCATGTTATTATAAATAACTGATCATACTATGGACAAATGTTAGAAGGATTGAGAAAGCAAACACTACTCATCTGCTATTAATATTATAATAGCACAAATGATTGACACTGTCAACAAACACACATATATTATAGTATAAATAAAATAATGACACATATAGCAATATCACAGCCAAACAATTAATGTAAGACATGTCTCAGATATGTTGGACATGTTGGATATGAGATAAAACAAGTTAGCAGATATCCATCTGATATCTAAGACATCTGATATCTACACACTAATACAGCTTATGAAAGTGTACAACTATCTACAGACGAATTATTAATAATAATAATAATAATAAAGTTACAAAGTACATTACAGTAACTATGGTACAGGAACGAGTACACAATTATAGTCTTTAAACAAATAACAATACTTTACACCTATGATAGTGTAAACATATAATAATGATGTATAATAATGGCAAACAGTAGAATAATACCTCTACCATTACTACAACAATGTAACAGAACATATTTAATTGCACAGAATGTAGATATACATTAATGAAGCATAAATAAACTTATATTGAAGCTACAAAGCTTATATACAAGTGAAGTACTATGCCAATATGGCTAGTACAACAAACAACAGAAAAACTACAACAGACACACTTATTATAATGATTACAAACGAAAACAATCATAATATAATAAGATTAAATAAATTAATAAAACGTTTAACACATTATCTCAGACAGTATAATATATAAAGAAAAGCAGATGCAAGCATATCTATTACATCTTATCAGAGATATGAATAGATGCACAACTAATGTTGTAACTGCAAACATGTAGAGAGATTTCTTAGCACGTCTGAAATATTACAGACATATTACAAACATCACATTAAAATTTATAAAACAAACAGTACAATGTTACAGTGTAATGTTTAAACAAAATGATGTATGTCAAACATTATGAGTTAACTTAAAACATACTGTTATATTATAACACATACTGACAAACGTACAAAAGTAAAATAACAAAGTACTAACACTACTTGTTGGATTACAAACACATGAAAGGAAATCAACAATGTACTTATGTACTTACACTACTTGTCAATTACTCAAAGAATAACCTTCTCAAATTGAAGGGGAGTAATTGAATAATATACATGCTAATGATGAACATTGAATTCTTAATGCAGACATATTGACTATGTCACTAAGTGAAATCTGTGATGAATCTGACAAATCTGTCGAATGCAAAATACCTTATTAAAGAATATAAAAGTTATACATCACATAACATTTTCAATGTTTATAAAAGTTATTCAAACAGATAATTAATAAATTAATAATAATAAAGCCTAGAAATGGCACATATTCCTAAAGCATTCTTTGCAGCAAATGCACAAACATTCACAACACGAAACTGCAGATGAACAAATGAATATTCATGATGCAGAAACATCAATCTTATTGCTGATCCTAAAAAACAATAAGCAATAGAAGTTATGGACAGATATAATGGATCACAAAGGTAAATCATTTGATGTGACACAAAATAACATTGATCAGAACAAATAACAGAAGTCAACACAATGTGTAATTGAACTTCAACGTTAAATAAATAATAATTCCACCATGAAACGAATGCTCATACTTGGCAAATAATATTAATATAATAATCTGATTAACTTAACAATGTTTAATACGAAAATAAATAAAATACAGACAATTATCACATCATATAATGAAATAATTCATCAATCTGGACTATAGTTCATGGATAAAAGTGATGAATAACGAAAATAATACTTTGGAACATACATAAAACAATAAATAATACATCCATACAATAATACAAATATAATTGCAATATAATTCACAACTACAATCGAACAATACAAAGATAATAACTGTACAAACAAGTATGGAGTACATACATATAATCAAATAAAACTATTAAATTGATTCTTGTACAAACAATTAATTTGCCCTCACTGTGTGATTAATACAAGCATGAACAGCATTATAATACTATGAAATACATCAGATAGATACTAATAAGTATATCTATACAATGATTCAAATAAAATAAATAAAACCAATATATAAAACGCTTTACCTAGCAAATCAATTAACAAATAAAACGTTGAACAAATACTACATACTACTAGATTAACTAAAGTATGCTAGGAGACAATTATAGTAAACATAATCTGATATATCACTTATATGTAGATTGTGTTACAATACACTATTCTTTACAAAAGAAAAAGCAAAGAACAATAGCCATAATACTAATAAATATTCATGACATCACAATCACAACAATTCACAATAACACTGTTAATAATAAATAATACAAACATATGTTAGTAACGATTTACAATGGATAATTATGTTAGCTATTGAAGAAATAACACAACAGATCACATAGTTACTCAGGATGTGTCAAAATCAATTCATTATACAATACAATATTAATAAGTTACTACATAAACATAAACAATAACACAAAGCAATACAGACAATACATTCATGAAATAATACATATATGATGCACCTAGACACATAGTGAGCTGCCTGTGGCCAGATATAATATCTATACAACAAATATATGTTAGCATAAAACCTTATTGATCTCAGAATGAAGTAATCTGGCAAAAACAAATAACATTATTAATATTACAACATACAATTGATGCAAAGCTTCAATCTGAAGACATAAATCAGCTATTGCTGAATGCTTAATGCATATACAAACATAAACGAATGCAGACAGTAATGATTAAAGAAGGATATCATTGTAACACCAGATATACATTTTACTAGCATGATTCATTAGTTTCACAGCAAAGTAAAAAGAAATTACTAGTAATACTTGAGCAAATTTAATAAATAAAACACACAATTTACAATCTTACACAGTGCTCATGAGATTCTGCAGGTCTCTGAAGCACATATGATATTAATAACAATTTCGAACGATTTATTGTGAAAACAATACTGTCATTGAACAGTAAACTACACACAAACTTTGGATTAACTCTGAACAATTTCAATCATGTTGAACACTCTACAAGACAACAAACAACAACTTAATAATATAATGATGAACAAACTACAGAACTAATAACATGACAGCAAACGAAAACTTAATAAATATCTAACAAAGCACAAAGTTAACACACAGTGGACTAAAATATATGATACAAAGACACATTTATATTATACAAATGATATTATTATATGTGATACACGAGTGAATATAATACAGACACAATGTACAATACAGATACAATACTAATAAAAATGTTGGAACAATCTGCAAATCAAACATCTTATAGGTCTGGCCAACTTATAAATGTTTGAAGGGGAGTGGTAGCAGTACTATAACTACCCCTAAAAATAAAAATAAAAATAACTACAAATCAAATAAACAAATAGTTGCAAAACAAACATATTATTAAACTAATATATGTTTGAAGGGGAGTGTTAACATATATGGAATGACACATATAAGTAACAGATGTACCTAAGATATAGCTACATATTATATATACCTACTGAATCAACAGACAATAATGCTAACAAGAGCAAGCTGAGTCCACTATCCCCCCTCTTTGTGTGATCCCTCTAAGCCTCTCACATAACCCCTCTCAACACTATTCCTTGCTATACTATCTCTTGCTCTGTCACTGTCTAGTGTCTACTGTTATTGTCTACTGTCTACTAAGGGTATAAAGTCCCTTTCCCTTCCCTTCCTGTTTCCTAGGGTATAAA